CCCTCCGGCCCGCCGCGGCGTGCGGGCGCGGGAGCCTGCCCTCGGCTTGCCCTGACGCGCAAGTGGGCAAAGCGCCTGCTTTGTACGTTGCCACAGCTCGGCTGCTCCTCCTTGTCCCCAGCTAATGTCTCATAGGATCACAGAATGGTTTGGGTTGGAAGCGACCTTAAAGATCACCTGGTTCCAACCCCTGCCACGGGCAGGGACACCTTCCACCAGACCGGGTTGCTCAAAGCCCCGTCCAGCCTGGCCTTGAACACTTCCAGGGATGGGGCATCCACAGCTTCTCTGGGCGACCTGTTCCAGTGCCTCACCACCCTCATAGTGAAGAATTTATTTCTTACATCTAATCTAAATCTACCCTTTTTCAGTTTAAAGCCATTACCCCTTGTCCTACCACTACATGCCCTTGTAAAAAGTCCCTCTCCAGCTTTCTGGCAGGCCCCCTTCAGGCACTGGAAGGCTGCTCTAAGGTCTCCCTGGAGCCTTTTCTTCTCCAGGCTGAACAACCCCAACTCTCTCAGCCTGTCCTCATAGCAGAGGTGCTCCAGCCCTCTGATCATCTTTGTGGCCCTGCTCTGGACTCAGTCCAACAGGTCCATGTCCATCTTATATGTTGGTTGCCAGAGCTGAATGCAGTGCTCCAGGTGGGGTCTCACAAGAGCAGAGGGGCAGAATCCCCTCCCTCGCCCTGCTGGCCACGCTGCTTTGGATGCAGCCCAGGATACGGTTGGCTTTCTGGGCTGCGAGCGCACATTATCGGGTCATGTTGAGCTTCTTCTCAACCAACACCCCCAAGTCCTTCTCCTCAGGGCTGCTCTCAATCCATTCTCTGCCCAGCCTGTATTTGTGCTTGGGATTGCCCCAACCCATCCGCAGGACCTTGCACTTGGCCTTGTTGAACTGCTGCACACATACTGCAATCTTGTATGAGCCAGTGATACAAAGAGAAAATAAAAAAGGCTGTTAAGAGCCACTGTGTCAGCCCTACCAAGTGCAGAAGTACGACAACAGCTCCCATGGACCATCGGTGTGATCTGCTGCAGGAAATGCTTTCCTACACCAGCTGTTTACTTGCTCACTTTTCACTAGATCACTGAGTGATGCAGAAAACTGGAAGCTCTCTGAGAACAGCAATCAAAATAACAGGAATTGCCATGAGGATAAGAAGCAGCTGTTGAAACATTTCTACATGGGCTTCCAGGGGAGAGAAGGATCAGCTCTGAAGGGCGGAATGGGAGTCTGAAAAAGATGTGTTGCATTTTCCAGTTCCAATTGCTGTTGTTTGTCTGTGTCCAGCTGGGCTTGGTATGATGGTACAGGGAGAAGTGATGCTATTGAGTACTGATGAGCTAACCTTTCCGCTTAGTTCAAATTCTGCTTCAGAGAACATACACAAAAACTATCTTGGACTACATCAAAGTTCCTCATTTGCATTATCTAGGCTGCTGGGCTGGTGGATGAGAGGCCCAGGAACAGAATGAGTTGAGATGTGCACCAAAGAAAAGTGCATCAGTGAAACAAAACAAGCCCAAACAGCAGAGGAGCTTTGTACAGGGTGGGACTGCGGTTTTATTGCAGAACCAGATCAGAGCCCTGGAAATTGTGCCTCCTGCCTTTTGTCTTTTCATTGACATTCCTCTTTCAAGGCATTTAATCCTCTCATTTATCCTGTAGAGGTAATGTTAGCAATGTTTTCGCCTGTGGGCCAACAGTTTGACTTGATTTTGTTTTCTGATATTACGACAGTTGCAAGAAGTGTGTTTATAAATGCACAGGGGTAGGTCTGCCAAAGGAAAGCTGGCAGGCTCTGAATGCACTTGTAAGGTGCTTGCACAGCAATCCAAAGAGAAGCAGTTCACAAAGCAATACTCCCCTGAAGGGACTGAGAAAACTTCATGGATCTAATTCCTACCCACCTAAAATAACTGAGCTCTGTCCACTCCACAGCACTGTGGTATCTGAGGAGCTATTGTTAAACCTTTGAGAATACCCTGCTCCCTGGTCATGTGCCTGATTTGAGATGGTTTAGATAAAGTAAGTGTACACAGTGGTCCTTCCCTGCACCAGTCACAGGAAGGGGCTGCCAGGCCTATTGATTCCCTTTCGATCCTGGCAAACTAATTTGACCTCTGGGATGGTTATGAACCTAACATACTTGAAGGAGTTCACTCTGGTAATAACATTCATGGAGTTCAAGCAGGGGAATCCATAAAGTGTGGTGATTTTCAGAAAGCTTTGGGAGAGGGGGCGGAACCTGGATTTCTCAGTGCTGCAAGGGTTTGAATGGAGGTAACCGTATCAGCATATTGCCTTAAATCCTGGCAATTCTCAGTGCCCCAGGGATAACAGAGTGTATCTGCCAGTTTGTCAGAGTGGGAAAATTCCAAGCAGGAATTCCAGGGCAGGATCTCCAAGTTCTGTACAACAGAAACTGGAGAAAAAACAGCTCTGAAGGTACTGGAGTACAGCCTGTGTGCACACACCACAGGCAGGGGCTAGGATTGCGTGGTGTTGAAGTACAGCTTTATGAACACAGCATGGGCTTTGCACTGCAGGGCATCTTTCTTCCCCTGCACTATTGATCTACAGCCCTGCCTTGGGTGCTCTGGCTGCTTGCAATTAACACAGGTTTGCACATGAACCTCTGATGCTGCCTCTCCCCTTCCCACCTCACCAAGAAAAAAAAGTTTAAGAAAGAGCAGCAACGGTGACAGAACTCTACCCGCCGTCATTAAGCGCTTCCTTAGCATCATGCAGCTTCCAGTCCTGGCGATGTGACCTCACTGGGGGTTGTTCCCTCCCCCTGTGGGTGACAGGCTAGAGGAAGGCAATTCTACTGCCTGACATGGCAAATTACAGAGAGGGGTCCGGCTGCGATAGTGGAAGCAGCCGGTTGGCAGGGCTGGAGCACCAGCAACGGGAGGTGTTTGCCACCTAGTGGCTCTGTGAGATCAGCTTTGGCGTGAGCTTCGCCCTCCACCTTCTCACAGCCCTGCTGCAGCCCTGGTGTACAATCCTTGTTTCTTTCCCTTGTCTTTTCCCAAGACCTGCAAGGAAGGTGAAGAAAGGTCAGAGAGGAGATAAAGCTGGGTTGTTTGGGTAGAGTGAGTCAGCTCTGATTTGGTTCTGTTCTGTCCGGGCTGGCCTCCAGAACATCAGGAGTCAAAAAAAAGGCAAGGCAAGTTTGCAAATAGGAAGCAAGGGCTTTCCTTCAAACCCTAGCGAACGAGGGCTCATTTTTGCTCAAGGAAGTGGTTCAAAACATTCTCCAGGCTTCTCACAATGAAGCAATATAGAAAGTCCTTAAGCCATGAGGGGAAATGATTCTCATGGAAGCCTTCACTTTTCTCAGTGTCCTTAAAGCAGAGCCTGCAAGTGAACTGCTATAGAGGGCTTCCTTCAACACACCTGTCTACCTATACCTCAGAGTTCAAGAACTGTAGGAGCCTGGATGAGGAAGCAAGCATATGAGAGGGCGTTTGAGTTTGATCTGCTCAACTTAAGAGCAAAGGGATATCAAGGCCACAATGGAGTTCTACATGTGTCATACTGATTAAATTAGGAGGAAGGCAGAAAATGTTAGCCATCAGAGCTATATCCAGCTATGCTGTTCAAGTAGGAGCATGGTAGAGACGTGCAATGCATGTCTACAAGACCATGTAACATAATAAGGTGTGTGTCAGGGTTGCATCTGTTTCCTCTTGTGGCACAGCACAATGTTGGCCATGGGTCTGGTGAGGGCAGGGAAAGAAAGGAAGAAACTTCACAAGGTTTTATTTGAGGGCACCGTTAGTGTACAGAGAAAAGCACTAGAAGTACAGCTTCTGTGAGTGTTTGCATCTACTTTCTGGGGTTCACTGAAGGCAATCTTTATGCAATGCGTGTGAAATTATGTCCCTTCATTGGGCCTACATGTTACTAGTTGGTTTTACTCCTCTCTTCTGCTTTACGCATTTCAGCCAAAGTCACTGCCCAAAGCACCTCTCTTCCCTTCAGAGCACATTGCTACCAAAGGAAGGTAATGATCATCTTAGTTTCCACTTTCTCCCTTGCAAGCCTTATGCATGGCAGTCTTTGTGAACTGCTGCTAACTGGCCTATCAAGATAGTCAGAAAATTAAGATAAAGCAGTGGGCTGAGTGAAGGGGCTTCTGCCTTCCTGAGACCCTTTGCTGTATATTGTTAGGAATACAGCAGGAACTCAGAGGTTATGATACAGAAAAAGCAGTTCCTTCAACCAGGGCATAATGCGAAGGTGGGAGGTAAAAGAAAGCAGAGGTTCCTTTCTGAGCCTGACCTGGCCCTGAGTTATGGGAGGTGACAAGGTCTTCAGTCAGTGGGAAGTAAAGATGCCATGGAATCCATAAGGCATTTGCACTGCGACTTCTGCTCGCCCCAATTCTCTGAAGGTCTCTGCATCCAAGACAAGCAGAAAAGCACTTTGGTTCTGCAGGATGAAAAGAAAGCCAGAATGAATGCCCAGGCTGAACTTCATTCCACTGTCCAACCCACTACATCTGTCACCCACAAGGGAGCCCAAATGTACAGCCAGGCCATATGGTCAGGTACAACCAGGCCATATAGACTAAACCTGTAAGACAGTTGGCCAGGAGCACTGATAGTCACAGATGCCACTCAAGAAACATTGACATTCCAAGGTACCTTCCTACTTGAAGTTTGCCTGGCTGTGCTTGGCAGTTGCAGAGGCACACACCTTGGGGACCATGGTGCTAGAGCTATCTGCCAGAGACCCTCAAATTCAGTTTTGTGGTTTAGAAAGTATACCTAGTACTATGTGACTTTGATGCACTCGTAGCAATAAGTTACCTCAATGGGGGAGATCACAACAGACAAGATGACTCCACTGTCTTCTGCCATGGCATTAGGCACTGGCACAAACACAGGCTCTGATGGGTAGGATCCATCCTCCTGCCAAATCTAGCAAGCAGAGTAACATATGAATGTGTTTCATTAATACTTGTCTACTACAGTTAGCAGAGTTGCAAGTTGGAGTGCTCACAAAGATACCCAGACATACTCTGTGCTCCAGGAAACCTATAGTTCAACCTTTTAATTAATTCTTTTGATTCCAGTAGTATGATGGTACCAGTGTTGTGACAGCATGCCCATTGTGCCAGCCATCATGCAAACAGGCAGTAAAAAGGATTCCTATTACTCATTTCACCCAATAGTTTGCACTGGCACAGGTATAAGATATAAGTTCAGAAAACACCACCATCCTTGCTGGCACAGCCACCTTCACACACCCTAGTGCAGATCACGTTATGCCCAGGCAATGCGGAGAAAGAGGTGCCATGCCAGCAGAGAGGAGATCTATCACCATCACCACCTGAGGACATAGCTGCTGCTCCTATCGCAGGCAGAGCCATAGCACCCCAATGCTGTGCTGAAGGAGGGCATTCTTACTGCAAAATGAGTATCTGGAGCAGAACAATTAAAATTGGTGTCTCTTTCTGAGGATTTCTAACTCTCTCTAGCCTCCGGGAAAGTCTCTGATTAATAAGCATTTAACACTTTGGAGATCATTATTCCCTGCTTAAGGGATACACAGGAAAAATTCCAGCTTGTGTTTGCAGTTGGAAATATCCTAAACCTTGTTTCTTGCCCGAGTCATAAATACTTCCACAATTTTTCTCCAACTGCCTATGCTACTTGGGTTCTGTACTGCCTGTTGAGAGATGACTCTTCTTTGGCCTGGAAGACACATGCATACTTTATCCAACCCATTCTGTTCTGTCATCTGTCTAGGAACCTGGAGTGACATCCTCTCCTCTTTGGTAAGTGTGTCACATTCATAAGGTGCTAGGTAAGAGATGAAATTAGGAATCTCATCTCAGACCTATTTGAATGAAGACCCCTAAAGAGTAAAGTGACTAGTAAATGACATATCTTCAAGGCCAGTTGAGTGGAATGACTCCCATTGCTGAAAAAGATCATCTCACTGCACCTCACCTTGAAATTCTTTGTCTCCACATCAACCTTGATCAAGGAATCTCCAACCAAATGCCGAAAACCACATCCATAGAAGTAGCGGTACCTCCTACCATTGTACTGAGAGTAGTTGATCTGGGGGAACTCCAAGCCCCCAACCTTTTCAAAGCCCTCAGGGTGGAGATTTTCATGTGTGCACCAGACCTAGAAGAGGTATACATTACATGAGTGTCAGTTTAGTTTTGACTGGACAGAAGATCTGACTGGTCCCACCAACCCACTGCACAATCATTGTGGAGAAGAAATGTTTAAAAGATGAGCCTGACATTGCACTGAGGCAGGTGGAAGCACCAATTCCATCTCCCTTATCTGTTTTACCCAAAGAACTGACTCATCATCTCAGACCTTGGAAACCTCAAGGAAAACCTGTTCTGATGTGAAAAACAGGAGCAAGTCCACGTAGTCCTGCACTCCTAGCTCAGAAAATCCCAGGTCCAGCGCTCAGCAATCTGATGTACAAAGTACACACAGAGATGGCTCCGCTCATAGTGGACAACACATGTTCTATACCACCGAATGCCACCCTGTAGGGCTGTTCAGCGCTGGAAGCAAAGAACAGTTCTGTACCCAGGTGAAAGCACGGAGGATTTTGTCAATGAAGAAGCTGAAGTTTGGCCAATTATTGTAAAGGCTCATAATCCACTTGAGCATTTTTGGTAAGTCACAATCTGTCTTTGCTCTCTCATTTAAGGCAACATGGTAGTCTTTGTACTAAAATACTAAGTCCCGTCTTAGTAATGACCAAACCTTGCTTGCTTGCTTCCTTGGTGGACAAGATCTGAGAAGGTAATAGCACAGCATTGATAACTGTTGCACGCAATCTCACCACAGCCATAAATGCAGTTATATAAGTCTTTAATATATACCTTGCCATCTGCATCTTTCACAGCCCTTGCCAATGTATAAGACAGAGGGTTCAGATTCTTCCCCGCAGGTGTGTCTGAATTCACATTCAGTGGGAGAACAAAGCGACGAGGGAAAGCTCGAGATATTGAGGCATAAATCTATTACAGAGACAGAAGGTTACAGTGATGGAGAGACGACAGTGGCATTTCAGGCTAAGTGCCATTTTGGGTAACAATTCTCAAGTTTTAGACATTCCTCCCATCCCGAAATCTTCTTCTTTCTGTTATGTGTTTTACCAAGTTCTGGTAAGGGCTCTGCTTGTTCCAGTACTTTACAGTAGAAAACAAAAAGACAACCAATTAAACGGGTCAGCATTGCTTTCACAGTAACTAATGCTGAGTTGGGTATGCAAATCACTCAGTTATCCTCCAAATCCACCACTGGGACATATGCTGCGCTATATTTTATTCAGTTAGAACAGACTTGTATTGATCCTTTTTACAGCCTGTCCACATATGCCCCACTGACTGTGTGACTTAGGCCTTTCTTGCCCAACCAAGATCATGAGCTAACAGGGGGATTACAGAAAATGGGACCTCCATAGCACTGAGCAAGCAGAGGGGATACCCCTGCTGGAAACCCACCCTCTCCAGCCCTATTGGTGATTAGTGGCAATCCCAGTTGGGAAGCCTGAGGCTGAACAAAGCACTGAGAAACTTCCACATTATTTTAAATAATATGAACAATGCAGAGAACAAGAACTTTATAAGTATCTAAGCTGCATGTAGTTACAAAGCTTCAGAAGAAAAAATGCTTGTCTGTCTCAGATCATCTGTGGGATGACAGCATGATACAGACACCGACCATACTGCTTGCTGTTAATCTTGGAGAGTAAATGTTGGCTCTCTGTGAAATTAATGGAAGGAGGGTCTTGTCCAGAGGATGACTGGAAATATCTGACTAAATGCTCTACATCAGTCTCTGGAGGAGCCTCCCTCTCCCCTGGATGATAAGGCGAGCAGGAGGAGACTACTGTACCTCAGTTCAATGCCTGAAGTTAGCCCACATGATTTTCTTCTTCCCTTCTTAGGTACACATATACTTCATGTTTGCGAAGCCTAGGGTAGTGGTGGATTTACTTGGGGAGCAAAGGGGAGAGCAAACTAGCAGCCCCCATTATGCAGACATTCAGCAGGTTGCATGAGAGGCATAATTCCACCATTGCCACTAAAGTTTTGTTTAAGCCAAGTTTAGAACCCATAATACTTCCAAATATTAAGCCTTCTACGTAAAATAGGTGGCAAGGACCCTGTTTTGGTGTTTTTCAGTTACTTCAATCTGTAACTGACCAGTTCAACATGAAACTTCACTTTAATCATATGTGCTAATCTTGAAACCCTATTTTCAAAGCTTTTACGTTTTATGTAGCCACAGTAAACTGATTGGTTGAGGAACTCTGCCAGACAAAATATGGTTTAGTCAGCAACCAAGAGCACTAAGCATGATTCGGGGAAAACGGATTAATCATGCTGAGGCATGCCTTAGTCTTTCGGTGCAGCATAAATTTAAGATTCCGTTCTGAAATGACTTGCACTTGTGTGTGTATACAGTTTAATGGCTACGCTACTTGTCAGTTAAAGTATGTGGGTGTTGGAAACACATGCCTAATGTTGACATAAGGACACCTTCAGACAGATCAAATTATAGCTCTTTTGTGCTCAGAGAAGGCTGAACAAAAGCTGGAATCAGCTTGCAAAGCAAATGGTCCTATTAACACTATGCTGTACTTGAATTAATGTTCACCATATCTTTGCAAAAAAAACAACACAGGAAAGCAGAACAAAATGACCCTACAGGGACACAACTATACACTTTTCAGGTCCGAATTGACTTGCTTCTAGACAGCTCAGAACATAGACAGAGGAAGTTCAGATGTGTCTGAACATGTAGAAATGCCTGCCCTTCACCCACAATATGGTGGGTTTCCAATAAACACATCTGCAGTACAAGAAACTGAAAGCACCCCCACTTTTCCAGTGTATGACCTATGCAAAATAATGCCTCTTACGTGGCTTTAAATGGTCCTTTTGACAGAGTTGGACATGAGTGATTTATAAGTACCTGCTGTTGTGAGGTGAATGTGAGGAACAATGTAGGTGTTTCTGTGATGTTTGTGTTTCTGTGATTTACATAATAAAGGCTGGTTTTCTGAAGTAATGCCTTTAAACAACAGGGTTTCTTTTTCTTTTGCCCTTTAAAAGTCATGCAAAAACTTATTTTGCATACTTTCTTGGGGGAAAAGTTTTATTACACAGGGATATGGAAAATAAGCATCATTAAAAACGAGATTTTAAAAGAGAAGTACATTCTGCCAGGCTGATGGAGATCTCTGTCACACACCAGTGTTAAAAGTTTCAAGGAAACACTCCATGGAGATTATCTGCTAAGAGATTTAAAAGGAAAGAAAAATACCAATGTATCAATAGATCATACTTTTAGTTTTTTCATCTAGTCATCGTTCCTTTCCCCAGTTCACATCCTCCCCCTTGTGGTCCTCCATTGTGTTCTCCATTCTACTAACCTGAACCTCGCTTCAGAAGAGTAACTCAACCAGCATGGGGCCCCATCAGATCCCATGCAACACAAATATAGAGATCTTACCTGATCTAGACCTTCCCCACTCCTCCGCAGATTCTGAAGTTTGTAAGTAGCCAGAGTTGTTCCATCATCCTGGCAGCACAGATCAAGGACCACACAGCCATGATCTTCAAAGGCATTGATTTGATGGAAAGTAGCAAAGGGCTTACTGTACCACTGCCCTGGCAGCACCTACAGTGACCATAAGAGAGGCTAAGTTTCCTCTCTAAAGATCCTAGCCACACCTCAAGGAGTTTTCTCTTCTCTCCCCCATTTCATTCCCCACTCATTCCTTGGTATTTGTCTTGTGTCCTTGTGTTACTAAAGAATGGCTGCTTTAAGACAGTAAGTAGGCAAAACCAGATGAAGAAAAGCCAAAATGTAAAGCAGCCCAGGATAGGCCCCTTGCTGTCATGACTCCATCCCTATAGCATCATTCCCAGGTTATGATTGACCTTTTTGTACTCTATAGTACTTGGGAACTGCATTTCAGTCCCTGTGCTGCAGTCTCAGGAGGCCCAAACTGCTTATTTCTGTCTGCTTTTAGGGCTGGCAAAGAAATGAATCAATAGAGAGGAAAATGCATGAAGTAATCCCATTTCTAATAAACCTACAGCCATGCTTATAAAGCCTATATTGCAATAACTTCTGGACTGATCCGTACAGCTGTCTGTGGCTGCTACCCAGCGCTCCTCTTGAGATCTAAGATTCCAGCTAGAGCTGCACAGCTGCTGGAAAGGCCAAAGATCCACCTACCTCTCCAGTATGCTTATTCACCACATGGAAGCGAGTATTGTACTGAGGGTCCCAGCTTATCCCTTCAGAAATGGCTTTCCCACGGAGTTTGGAAGTGATAATCTGCAACATATTCAGCTTGATGGGTTGCTCAATGAAAATGATGTAGTTTTCACTCATTCCTGAAAAGAGAAGGACGGGGATATCATCCGAGTATTAAGCAAATGAGATGATAAAAAATCTCGGGGGCAGAGGACAGTCAACAGCCCTTTCTGCCTCACAGTAGGCTAAATCCACAGAGTTTGAGATAGAAAGTATTCTTACCAAAGCTGTGATAGTAGGAGGGTTTCATCTTATCCATTGGAGCAATGGAGCACAGCACTTTCGCTCCCTCTAATGTGTCACTACAGTTTGACTTTTGTGGAGGAACCTGAATGATATTATACCTAGACCCTGGAAAGGAGAAAGGGTGTTCAACACTGCTGAGATGTGAGACTGTCCACATTCATGAAACCAAATTCAGGCTCTGTTCCCCTCTGTTTCCCCTGAATACTAGGAACCACGGTCATAGCTAAACTGAGCAGAAAAGAAAAAGCCAGTTATCAAGTCAGTAAAACAATCAATTGAGGATTACCTAGCAAAAAAAAAGAAGCTTGAAAGGAAGTAGAAGGATATTCTCAGTCTGGTAGACTGCCATCTAATTTTACTGTCTGCAATGCATTCCTTATGTTAGCTTAGAATATCCTATACTAACAGGATCAGGAAGAAAACCAAGTTCATAGCTTGTGTATCAAGGGAAAGGAAAACTTTGAGCCTTAGTGATGGCTGATGCTCATTTAATAAATCTGAGCATATGGGTGGGAAAGAATGCCACATTTGAATAATAATCCTTAGTTTGGGCTCTCCATCTGAAAACAGCATGTGCTGCAAAGTTAGGCGTTGCTGAAGGCAAAAGGAAATGAAAACAGCAAGAATGATAAATGATCAAAACTGGGCAACTGTTCAGTGAACTGAAACCAGCCTGAGGTATCATAATAAAGGGCAGTGGCTGTCTTCACAGGCCTCAGGCACCTGAAAAAGAAGGCTGTCATGTAACGAACAGTGAATGCTAGCTCTGAGCAGCCACGTCAACGTAACTAGATCCCAACTAGATGTAACGCTCATAGCTTTGGGAAGAAGAAAAATACCCCAGAAAATTCAGCTTTAATGTAAGACAGCCAGGTCATGGTAATAAATTCCACCTTCTCTCCTGTATAAACCCTTATGGTCCTTATCAAAAGCCAATTATTTTAAGTGGAAAACATATGGCTAATTTTCAAATTCTTTGGATGAGGCTTCAACGGTGGATGGGGCTTTAAAAATCATGCTCCTCTTTTCCACCAAAGCTTGGGAGAGGAAGAGGGGAATCTGTTGGATATTCACAGGCCAAAGTCAGAAGCATCTGAAACTAATTGCTGAGAGAAGCCATTTTTATGGCACAGACTGACACCCTGAAATATGATGAAATTGTCTGGTTTGCCATCATTTTGACACAAAGAGAAACAGCAATGTCAAGGCCTCTTTAGACACTGAAGTTTCTTCAACAACTGCTCCTTGAAGCAGCAGCAAGCAGCAGACTGTACACCCTGCCCACAAGCCAGGCCTGTTCATGCTCAGTCTTACCATGTTTCCCATAGGAGTTGCCCATGTTGTATGTTGTCCCATCAGACTCATAATGAGGATGAGCAGTGGCCCCATTCACTGCAACAAATTTGCTCCAGTCTACCTGCAAATGCCAAAGATTTCAGTCAGTATAGAAGTTTCCCGTTGCTCTGCAGCAAGCCACAGTCTTTCTAAATGTTGGTTTTGTGAAAATCTGAGGAAGAATAGCTTGATGATTACGGCCCTAATGTGGAATCTGGACTTAAGCCTTCGTTTTGCTGGCAATCTTCCTGAAATCCTTGAAAATTAATGATGGTGTTTCTCTCTGTGCTAGTCCTACCAGTAAAATGGGACTAATAGCATTAGCCATTTCTCTGGGAGACATGAACATTACTAACGGCAGGAAGTGCTGACACAATGGGAATGTTGCCTATATGAGCATTTTAGCTAGGACCCCATGTAATAACCACAGACAGATGTGCAGGAGGAGACAGTCACTGCCCCAAAAAATCACCAAGTTTTTTGAAAGAACCCATAGCTAATTGACAGTGAGTGTTTACTCTCCTCACAGAGGAAACAGTTTGGCTTCACTGTCTACAGCTAGGAGGAACAGTTAGGGCAAAGGTACAATTGTGAGCAGTGTTAATGTGCATTCCTCGTTCCTGGGCTAGGGTGTGGTTTGGTCTCAGACAGTGGAGGGGATATGGTGGGAAGAAAGTCTGAAGGAAAAGTTGGAGGAAGATCAATTGAAACATTAAAGCATAGAAGATACGCTTCTTTTGCAAAAGTTTAAAAAATGGCTTTCAAGTATCCAACCGAGACCTTTTGGAAGGTCCCAGTAGAAAAGAGTACCACACCACTGGAAGCTTAGAAAACCATGTCCTTTTAAGGCATCTCAAATTGGAGAGTTTATATGTCATCCCTTCCATTTCTTCACTTAGCCAAAAAATACCAGTCTGCATCTAAAAAGCAGCTTAAGGGGATTTTTTTTTAATGCAAGATGGATCAGCAGAGCTGAACATTCTGAACTAAAAATACCCATGCATCTTTTCACCACTGCACTACGGTTTACAAAACAGATAAAATAGCAAATCATCAAACTCTCCATTTCAATATGCAAGTAGCACGCTATATACTTCATAAACAGAGTTTCTTTATGACTCACAACTGATCCTGCAGGGAGGGAGGGACTCCTGGAATGCCACCCTCAAGACCTGAGGATGTGCTGAGCCTGGTATTTTGTGGTATTAAATGGTCTGTGGTAACATACAGGCACAGTAGTTAATACTGCCTCAGGAATGGTAGAATCCTTCCTCGGTCCTTCTCACAGTTGTTCAGCCCAGCAAATACCCAAATCCCCTCTGAGGGTGCAGGCAGGGGGACACATAGCTTACGCTGTCATTTCACAAGCCATATTCTTCCCTCAAATACAGCCACACTGCTGTGAGACAATGCACAGAACATATGGGACGACTTCTACTCTGACTTTTTGGTCATTTGCTAGCATGGGAGAAAATAAAGTGGCAGCTGAACTTTGACTTGACTTTACATTGACTTCACCATCCATTTGCCACAGAGGTTTTAGTCAAGACTTTGAAGGGCCGTTTTGGAGTGTTAAAGCCGGGGCTGTAAGAAGGAGATAAAGGGAACAGATAGGAAGAATGAAGAGACAGGGCAAGAATACAGTTCTGAGATCAGTGATGTTAATTTCTTCCTGTATGTACAGACAAGTCCAGACAAGTAGTGAGTGTACTGGAAGAATGCCAGCTGTACCCAAACGGAAATGAGTCTATATCCGTCTCTCGCCTTGCTTGCTACAGAGGGCAGTGACTGAATCTTCGCTCATGAGAGCTGCCTTATTGCTAAGTAGATTTTTCAAGGACTCGAGCACACCACGAAGGGATGCTTATGGTTATGGCCCAGAGCTGCACTGATCTTTTCTTTTGGAATCTGGGTTCCCCCTCGCTGCTCTTAGAAACAGCAAGGAGTGATTCTCCCGTACCATAAGCTAATACCCCTTATTCCACCTGCCCACACCTTTTCCTTTGTTTCAAGCGTTTCTGGGTCCACTTTGTACATGAAGATGTTCTCATTGCTGACATAATAGTCTCCTTTATACACAACGTAGTTCACACTGGCATTGTCACTCGGTTCTGAAACGAAATCCAGGAGTTGTAAACAGCTCTGTTTAAGCTCACATCACATTATGGCAAGTTAGACATGTTTAAAAAAATAAACCCATTTCAAATGACACTAATCTCTCTGTGATTGATTAGAAATATCTCACTAATCTACAAAGGCACTCAGGAAACTGTCGGCACAGGTGAGTTCAGGATAAAAGGACAAGGACTGGTTCCTGTGGAAATCATTGCAGTGAAGCCAAGATAATCTTCATACTTCCATATGCCCTTTGTTTCTGACCTCTTATTCCTTCATACCCTTCTCCCTTTCCTCCCTAGCCAAAGTCCTCTTCTCTTCTTTGACAGCCATATGAAGACTGCCATATTTGATTTACAGCATTGGAAACAAGAGAGGCAAGACTTGAAGCTACAACTTGGCCTGAGGGGAGGGCAAAGATGCTATTTGTGTGACAGGTCTTGGATAGGGAATGCTTCTTCTTCCCTATTCTCTTCCTCTTTAAAACTGTAGTCAGGGAGATGCCTTTTGAGAGCTACATGTGCACAACAGCCAGAGCTGTTCTTGCTACTCCTAGGGGAGCTGAGACTCACTAGCCAGGTGGCTGAGAAGAGCTGAGAAAAAAGTGATTCCCCCAATTGAACATTGTGTCTGTGTGGTGAACGTGGAGCCTGAAGCTGGTACAGGAAAAGTCTGGAAGACAGGCCTTCTTGTAGTAAGGAATAGCCTACATGTGTGTAAAGAGTCAAACAGGCAAGGGTGTGCAGGCACAACCTGCTGGACCTTGGAAAAGAAGATGGGGGATGTAGATAGTTTTGAAATTTACTGAGAGAGCTGGGGTGGGGACTTGGGGAGCTAGGCAGGCCAATGAGTGAAAGTACGAGCACCTTTGAAGAGAACAGATGACATGGCAGGACAGGATCCATCTCCTCGGGGAAGATAAGAAGCAGAAGATGGTCACACACACGAGCAACAAGTTGCAAACTTTAGGTCTGTTCTGGTTTTAGTGGAAAGTGCTTTGCTTGCATTTAAGCCTATTGCTTTCCTGACATACACAGAACCCTATAGGTAATGGTACTTCCATTCCTGTGCAATACCGTCTCTCACCCTACTCATATCATCTCCTGCACCTTAGTACAGGAAGGGAAGGATTAGCCCACTTACCCTACAAGCTTAGCAAGGCAAGGTGTTTTAAGGGCAAAGCTGAGTCTCAGGTAGAACAGCAGATTGTAATGCTCATTATCAGGACTGCACAGGGTGTTCTTTGGGGAAAGATTTCTGTTGGAAATTCGCAACAAACTCTGGAATTGAGTGAGCTGAAGTGGCACTAAAACATTAAACTGAATGTGCCTCTCCCAGCTAAGTCTGACACCAACTTGCATTTTTTGTTGTTGTTGTTGTTTCAAAGGGTCATCTTTTAAGAAAAACATGGGCTCAGAACAGGCCTGCCAGACTTCCTCAAATCTCCCTTTAAACCCAACCACACGTTCCCTAAGAAATCTCAGAACATTTCTTATTTCTTAGAAAACCTCTTACGTGGCATCTCAAAGCGTGACATGAAGCGCCCAAAGACACTCTTGCATGGGTCTGGCATTGCCAGTGTCCCAAATTCTGAGACCACGATGCGGTTGTGCTGGCTGTTAGTCAGGTAGGAATTGCTCTGCAGAAACTTGCTCCTGTATGTCACTGTGCCATTCTCCAACTGGAATTGATGCAACAGGGCCATGCCATCAAACCAATGGTTAAATCTTCAAGAAGAGATAAATAAGAGAACAAGAGTTGGGCACTATATGATGTTCTACTATACTGTTCCCTCTTGCCTTTAGGTTTATTATTGTTTGTAAAAAGCTAATGCCCAGATCCCATGAACACTTAAACATGCATAGCCTTGTGACGAGTCTGGGAAAACATTTGAATTGAGTGAAACAAATCAAGTGTATTTGCAGCTGTGGGACCTGAAGTTAGATGCTGACTTTCAGTGAGATTTGGGCTCCCTATGTTACTTTTGAAAGTGGACCTCAGGGACTTCTGAAAATGCTATATATAAGCTTTTGGGGGAAACAATCTATACTGGTAAACCGATCACTCTGCAGACGTCTGCATAGGGAGCAGAAATTGTGCTTTACTGTACAACAAGAATAGAAATTATTACTGAAAGCCCAACCGCACAAGAAGGAGCCTTTAGCTCTCAGCTCTTTGCAGGATGCTGTTCTCTCTGAAATGCGAAATCTCTGAGACTTTGAGAAAACCTTATGGTCTATCTCTGGAAATATGATAAGACGATCACCTTTGGGCAGTTGGTGACATCAGCTTTGTTGGAAGAAGAGCTAGGTTTGTCAATTAGCTAGAATGACAGATTCCAAGCCAAAGGCAGTAGTTGCCTTCTTGAAATATTTTAATATATTATTTTTAAAATGAGGTGGATTTGCTTCTAAAGCAACTCACACAATTTAGCGCAATCAACTTTACAAATCCTGCCCCAGATTTCAGAGTGCTCGTGGGGTGGACTTTTGTTAATGACAAAGGACTAGGAGTGTGGATGTTTTAATCCCTGGCTCTGTTCCCTCATTATATCATTCTGAGTAGGTCACAGCCTCTCTGTGACTCAGCGTCTCCAACCTTAATAAGTTAACCATGCTCCTATTTTCAGAGAGCCCACTGGGAGTTTCCAGATGAGGGAGCAACTGTTCTTAAAAGAATGATAACATAAGCATTTCTTCCTTGCCTTACTCAAAAAGAAACTACAAGGTGCTCCAAACAGTGGTGAGTCATTTGCAGGGGTCCCCTTTAGGTTTAGGCAGAGCTCAGGCCACAATCATTTGACAAACTCACCAAACCTGGACTTACTTCTCCTCACCAAACTCAAACTTCCCAGGACCATTCCTCAGAAGATTGCCATTAATCCATTTGGGAATATGTCCTTTGATCTTCGCTGGGATGGGCTGAGGGGTCTCCTCTACCGTCTGCATTAAGGGTGAGATGCATTGCAAACCCTTGGGGCTGTGGAAGGTGATTTGCTCTTTTGATGGGCTGGGCAGGAAATTCTTTAAACCTACAAAGAAAACAGTGACAACAAAAAGCAGGTAGCTAAGATTTTCACTTGGATAAACAGACAATTGCTAGAGCTTGAGATTGGATGTCTAGGAGAATAGTATTCAACATTCTGCAAGCAGCCAAGCTGTAGTGAATATTCACACTACAGCTGTGCTCCCATAATACCCCACGCATCCACAGGGAGCTGAAAATCCAGTGGATTTAACTCTACTGTAGTTAATCCATTAGAGACACCTGTTCTGCAGTCCAAAGGAGGCAATAAAATACATGATGATAGGAAAGAAGAGAACTTTTCTTTTAATTAGAGAAGCTTATAGTTGCAATTTATTTCAAAAAGTAACTGGGAACAAGTAGCATATGGATATTTATTATAAGAACCTATGAGGTTGCAAAAAGAAATCTGTTCCAAGTTGGGACGATACACAGGGTAATGTTGAGAGGGAGCCCTAAAAATAATCTCCCAGTGATTTCTGACAAGCAGTCTGCTGAAGAAAGTGACAGAAAAGAGCTAGTCTGACTGTTGCAGATCAAAGCCACAAGCAGAACAATGTAATTAGGCACCTCGTAAAGCAGTGCATGTTGGCTTTAGAGGACGATGTTGCCAAAAGCAGGGCAGAGCTGGGCACACCTCAGATAGAAAAACCGCATTCTATAACACCCTCTAACTCCACCTTGGTATCACTATAACGGGTGAGTTAAAGAGACAGAAGAAACTGTACATACTGGGACATTTTCCCAGGACTTGTAATCTAATCAGCCATCACCCAAGGTGTTTTCAAACATAAAGCGCAGTGCAGAAAAACAACACAGAACACATTAGAGAGAGATCGTGATACTTAAGCAGGATATGCTGCTGGCTTTTTTACTTTTGCTGCATTTGAAATCTTCCTAAGGCCTTTCTGCTGTTCAGTCACTAATGTTTGGCCTTTAATCTTTATAGCCATATTGATTATTGATTCTTCTGTAGGCCCAGATTTTCTCCCTTTTTGTTTGCAAAGTAAGAAAAGTTTTTTGTAAAGTCCTTGACTGAAAAAGCTTTTGCAGTAAAGCATAGACAGGAAAGGAAAACCAATACAGCATGGAGCAAGCTGAACACAGAGGACAGGGACAAGCACTGTCCATTGCTTTGAGGTTTGGAGCACTGCAATTAAAGATCTGGTTCATTTCAACTTCATGCTATCAGATTGGATGCGAGGATCGCTGCGAATGGCCTCTAGCCTGCGCTATGCCATCACACACACCCCCCCCCCCCCCCCCCTTAGTCACCAATGCAGCAACGTACAATTTAACAAGAAGTGGTATCCAGGTCGAATCGCAGTCAGTGCTGCCTCAGACGCCTCTGGCTAGGACTTAATCTGAGCTGGGTTTAACCAAGGGTTTCTGAAAAATTGTGCTATAAGGCTGCTCACAGTAAGCAGCAGCATTTTTTGCAGCTAAAGCTAATGCATGGCTTTCCTAATGCTGACCATTTCACAGTGAAGAAATTCCTTTTAACTTGAATAGTCAGCCAAAATTCAGGGTCTCCCAGCTTGGGAGTTTAGGGGAGGGGATGTATAGTGGTATTAGGTTCCTTCAAAACAATGTGCTACTTTTAACAAAACTGTACAACATCCTCTACTGAATTAAAAAAAAAAAAAAAAAAAAAAACAAAAAAACAAAAAACAGTTTTTCTGTCCGTAGTACAAAGGCTCTTCTAGAAAAAGAAAAAGAAAGCAGCTTACTAGGAAGAACATCCCACAGAACAGCCCAGAGGACTCCTCTAAATTCAGGCAAGCCATAGCTTCTTACACAAATGTTATGAACGCGATGTTAAAGAACCCAAAGTTCTTGGAGTATAGGTTGCCATGTTTTCACTACCCTGCATATGGAGGACTCTGCTAAGTTGGCATTATTTGAAATACAGTAGACCAGAAGGTCATAGGCTATTGAAAGGTGTACAGGTCAGTTCTCAAACTCACCAGTACTCTCTGATTTCAAAAAGCTCAAAAAGCAATCATTGGCTTTTCTGCTTACACAGAGAAAAAAAAAAAAAAAAAAAACAAAACCCAAACAAACCAAAAAACCTCCACCCCCCAAAAAAAATGGAAGTCAGGAAGAACACAAATGAAACTGAGCTGAAATACATTTATAGGACAGGACAAAACAGATTAAACAGATTTACCTGGTAAGTAAAAAAGCAATAGCAGAAAAGGATAATTTCTGATGGAGCCTCTTGTTTGAATGCAGTTATCCCCCTTATTAGGCATAGTAATAGGACAAAAGCGTCAAAAAAGCATGAACTGATTGGAATGCTGTGTGCTAACAGCACAGAGTTAGTTATTGGCTCCAGTAGCCTGGCTTGCAAAGCCTCATCAACACAAGGATTGTTTTAGCAATCCATTTAGCTGCAGAGGTGGATTTACCTAGAAAGTACACAGGCTGTTGCCTTCCCTCCCAATGCTATCACCTCCTCATCTATCACAGGCTTCATGTCCACAGATCAGTGGAGTTGCTTTGCTACGCTGCTCTATCCTCACCGTAAGACCATTGAGCCCTGAACTAAACTAGAATTGATGAAGATTTAGGTGTAAGTGGAACACTAATAGAAATGGACTGCATGGCATACAGAAATCTATTCCTGAACCAGGTCTAGTACAGACAAGAGCACGTACTAAACAGAACCCACACTGATACTGAACTTCATTCTGATTTTTTGATGTAGCACTTTGTTCTGGTTATACTAGTCACTTTCACCACTGCTTCTTCTAGCCTACGTTCTTTAATCCAGGTGATTAAGTGAAGCTGCTGCACAATTTACCTGTGAGCCTCTGAAACCATGTGTTCACATCTACAGAGGAAATTTGCTGTTTCATACAGGAGAATATTTGCAAAAGAACTGAGTTGACAGACAGCATTTTTCTAAGCTTGCTTCTTCAAAACAGCCACAGACAGAATAGGTGTTAGGCATGCAGGAAGGTAAATTGCAAGATCCCTTCAATGAGTTCTCTGGCTTGCCAATCCTCAAATCCTTCTTTAGATCTCTAATATGGTAAGTCAGCTAGATAAAGAATTCAGGCTACAGGGCTAAAGCAATTAACCTCAAACCGGCAACATCCTCTCCCTCTTAAAATTCAATTAAGTTCTGATTAAATCCTATATGAAGCACTCAATCTGATCCCAATACTACTGCTTCAGAGTATTTCCTTAGACATAAGGAAGTAAAGGCTTTTCACATCAAATAACACCTGGCAGGTTTAGTGACTGCTATCAGTATTTGCAGAAATGCAGCTTTAGTAGGCCAAGCTAAAGTTTGTAAAGATGTAAAATATGCAGAAAAATGAGAGCAACATGTCCCTAAGGAGACATTTTTGCATTCAAGCAGAAACAAAGATGGCATGACCAAGGATGGCACTAGGCAGAAACTTCCTGGAGAGCAGCGTAATTACATACAGGAATTTAGAAAGACAAACTTCAGAAAAGAGCCTGAACAGGACTGGAAAGGACCTTGTGGGTCATCTCCTCCCAACTGCTGTCCCGGAAAGTCATATATATGCTCTCTGTCTTAAAAGTGGCTATGTTTCCTGGCACTTATCCCCTCTTTGGAAGACTGCTTATTGCCCAGATGATTAGAAAAATCCTTTGAATTTACAGAAGGACTTTATTCATAGGACAGTTTGTCCCCCTTGTTCTTATGTCAGCACTGTTATGTGGCTTTGGTAGTTCTCCCTCTCTTGTGTTTACCACATGTTGTATTTAGAGTGAGCAATCATATCACTTCCTAAGCTAAGCAAGCCAATTCTTTTCGTTTTCCTTCTCCTGTGATAACCTTGCCATTCACATGACCATCTTAGCAATCCTTCCTTAGGATTAGAATTAGTTAGAATTCATCTAGTTACAATTCATTTCAAGACATAGTCTAGAAAGTGTCTGAGAACAGGCTATATACAACAAGAATGTGTAAATTAATACCCTGTCCTATCAGATCAGAGAGAAAGAAACAAGCATAGCAAGATAATATACTATCTTTCCTTCTGGGAACCACTCAAATGAGCTGAAGATCCTGACAGTAATGCATGCAAAATGTAAGCAAATCATGATACCCAGATGAGTCAAAACAGAAGTTTTCAGAAACATGGCAAGTCGCTCTAGGACAATTTTGAGAAGGAGGGGAGGGGTGCAAAAAAAAAAAGGCAAGTTTGCTCTGGTGAGTTTGTTCTGAAGAGATTCAGGACAAGAAACAGAAGACAACAATAAGCCATGACCTCCTCTAAACTTGGCACAACACAAAAAAATGTGTCTTTTACTTGCATTACACGAACAGCCTCAGTATTGCACATCATTAGTCTGGCCTGGAAACAAGATGTTGTCGCAGGACTCCCTAGTGATTGTTATCTACAAAGCAATGCAGCATTTAAGAAACACAAGGGTGGTTGGGTGAGTCTGGTCAGATGGGTTCTTTGCAGACACTTGATACAACCTGCCCCTTTTTTTCTTTTTTTAAGGAATCATTACCTGTGCAACGTACTGAGATTTGATCTGTAGCAGCAGCAGTAAACAACACAGGCTAATCAGCACATGGAGCTAAGACCAGAAGGGCCTAGTGCAACTCATTCCCCCCTGTCAGCACAGGAAAGGCTTGCATTCATTCAAAAAAAATCAAGCTGCTGCAATACATATGCAGGACAGTACAATACAGAATAAACACATCAAAGGAAATAATTTTGTTGCTAATCTGTGAGTGACCATAGCTGTGTTTAAAAAAACCCACCGCAGCTGCACATCCTACACTTCTTCCCTATTAAAAAAAAGGATAAATCTGAATTAAGTCTACCCTCCAAATTTAATCATAGTTTAATACTAAAATCCATTACATTTATCTGCACCTACTCTGAAACGCACTGAGCAGATGGAACACAAACACTTCCTACTTGAATGCACTGTTCGTGAGCAATTGTAGTAATGGTGTATCACCTTCAGATAAGAGCTCAGTCATAAAGCTCGACTTATTGTAACATCTAGCTACCTAGGAAGACTTCAATCTCTGCAAAAGACAGAAGACACACTGTTTTTTAATGTTCAGCAATGTGTAGATAAAATTAAATACTGATTCCGCTCTACTGTTGTGATTACACTCCAAAACGGAAGAACTTGAATAAGCAATAAAACAAAGGCACTACAGTCCCAATGGGGCTTACTGTATTTGCTTGAGCATAATACCTGAAAATCAGCACAAGATTACAACCTGCCGTCTCAAAAATCTCATTTCTGGACTGTAATTTCCGTTTTACCACAAAACTTCAAAAATAGGCTTAAGATCTAAACTTCCTTTGGCACATCAGAGCAGAGGCAGTGCCAAATACAGCATTGTAATTTTTCCTCAAATCTTTTCTAAAGAATCCTTTCTGCTTTGGGTAAGGCAGCAATGAATCAGACATGAAATTCTACTTAAACAGCAATGGGTGGGGCAAAAAATCTTAACAATGAATGGAGGAAAACAGAAGCCATTTGCTAGCCATTAAATTGAAATCACACTGGATATAGCCAATCCACTTTGACTTTAACCTGTGCATTCAAATCCAAGGCACAGGGACCACCAACATTTGTCTCCACATGCAACTGCACAGTCTAATTGCTTGACTCAGAAGGACATTCGGGACCAGACTTAAGGGTGGACATCAGTGAACAGAATGCTCACAGTCGGTGTTCTTCAAGCAGGGAGAGTGAAGCAAGAATCCTGTTTTCCCTGAGGATTCAAGCAAATTCAGAATAACCATACAGCAGATGTGGAAATCCTCTGGCACAAGATACGGGCCACAATATGGTCCCTGAAAATCAGAGATTGGAACAACAGGGCAAGCAAACCAGCTTTCCCCATCTCCCCACCCCGAACTGAAGTTGCTGTAGCTATTGATTTCTGCCATCCAGACTCGAGCCTTTACCCTCCGCCTTCACTAGGGTTGAACCCCTCAGCTCACCTGAGTGTCGCGCACTGATTTCTGAAGTTGTTGCACTTGCCTTGTGTCTGCTGGGAAGTCCCCGTACTTGACTCCTTGTTCCATCTAGCTTGTTGATTTCCCATTGTCAGGGGCTCAGCCACCCACTTCCTTGCTAACAGGCAAAGCAGCAAAGGAGGACACAAAAGAAGTGACAGAAAACACAGGAAAAAAGAAATGGAGAAAAGCAGTGGAGAAAGGCTTGTCAAAGGGAGGTAGGGGAGAAAAGCAACTGTGAACTGTGCATACTCTTGCATATGAAATATCTGTTGATTTCCCAAAGACACCTTTAGAAATAGATGCTACAATTTGAGGGTGGTTTTTTGCTGACATGAAGAAAGTGTAATTTATTTGTTAAATATTGATTTACACAATCAAGTCCTTGGAACACTTATCCTAAAAAGGCACAATGAACAACTGGTGCTAGGAAAATGTTGCCAGTGTCACAAGAAACCTTTCAGATGGAATACATTTTAGTCACACTTTTTTTCTTTTATTATCACTGTTTCACTCAAATGCCTGAACAAATAATAGAGGGGTTTCTTTTTCATGATTCAGCATTCTCACCTTTTAGCTAAATTGAGACAATTCTATATCAGCAACCTTTTTTAAGAAGACCTTAGTAAAAGTCAGGGAAAATCCATAATTTTCAAACAGATACAGAAAATGAGGCAAGGAAATTTGCAGACTTTTCATGTCAGTCAAGTAATCAAGACAAGAAACACAGCTCTTTATGTTCCTATGCAGTTCAGCTTCAAAGAATAACGAAAGAGGTAGAGTGCAAGACAATTTATATTTAGCAGAAAGCCACAGTTTAAACAAGATTATACAGTTGTGGCAATCTGCTAGCAAATCAAAAGAACATAATAAATTTATGCATACAGGCTTTTTTTCCCAGCAGGAAAGTACTTTATCACACCCTGAAATGATAATAACATAGGTTGTTTTATATAACAATCCCAATGCTAGGCTTAATATTCGTCCTTTAGTTTGCATTAATTACTCTGCCTCTGAATTTTCTGTCTTCCATCTCACATACATAGTTGATGACACATGCCTTACACAAACTTAGTAACATGTGCCTTAGTAACAAAAGAAACCTCCTGGACTGTTTCTAAATTTGCACCCATGGATGTGGTCCGGTGGCACAATAAGGCAAGTCTGAGAACCTTTCAGATCTTTGGATACCTCAGAAGCAATTCTTTGGTTCTAAAGGGGAGGAAAACACCACCACCATCAAAAAGCAGAGATTCTGGTGAATTAAGTCATGATCTTTGTTGATTCCTATTTTGTGATAACAGATCTCACTCTTAGACAAAAAAAAAAAAAAAGATGGCTCAAGTTGTGCAACGATGGCACAAATTGCAGATTTTGGTGGTAATACAAAATCCCTTGGGATAGTTTCCCGCTTAATGTCGCTGCTCTAAACAATCCTCTCCCTTTCACAGCCCGCTTACACGTCTCACAGCAGGCTCCCTTGCAGAGAGAATCTGCTGCCTACTGGCTTTCCAGCTCTAAACCATCAGTATCTGCTAGTAATCCGAGGGAATCTGTGCAATATACTTGCCTCTCCTGTTTATCGTTTTAATAAATAACAGAGAATTTCTGGCTTCTAACAAACACTTCAAATCGCTTAGTTCCTAATTCCTGATCAATAGAAATGAAATCGCTCTACCGACCTGTGTCCGCAGCAGCTCTTAACAGCAACAGAAAACCCGTTTCCAAGATGATGGGATGGAAGGATTTGTTTGTTTATGCATTTTACCTGGAATGAATTGCATCAAAGAGCCGAGGAAATGCCACAAATTAGCAAGCAGGAGGCTGATGGCTGACAAATGGATTTTGGAAAACATATTCCGCTTGGAAGAAGGCATCAGATCGGAGATGGTCAGGCAACGGTACAGGTGCCAGGATGATAGAGTGTGCAGCGAGCACTGATGGATCGGTGAGAGAGAGCTGTCTCACATCATCATTTCAGAATAAAAGCCCGGCATGTCTGCCCAAGCAGGATGGGATGAATGAGCCAGCCTGCACTGCACCGCAATCCCCTGCTACAGCCAGGCCAGGCAGTCGCAGGGCATGCAGAGACCTGCTGCCCACCTGAGCAGGTCAGCAGCCCTCAGAACCTCTCAGCAGCTGTGCCAGGTGAGTTGCTGAAATGCCAAGGCAGTTAAAACATACATTACCACTGGTAGAAAAAGGGCTTTATCACTATTTGCCAGTTGCAGCTGGGGAAATTGGAAGAAAGGGGAGAAGAGATATATCTATGTACCAAGGTAGCCAGGCTTCAAGGCAATTCTTTTTAAAATTCTTGTCACCTTGTCTTGTCTTTTTCACCTGTCAAAAATACTTTTTCTTTGTTTTGTTTCAAAATCTGAGCAACCATTTTGCACCTCAAAGAATCTCGAGGCTTTAGGCATATTGGTTGCCAAACCAGATTAGACCATGAAATCGGATAGGGAAGGACCAGTGCTAGGCCATGCTCTGCTGTTTCAAACTAAGACGGGCCGTTTCCTTCAGGATGCCGGGAGGAAGCTGCTAGCACTTTGCAAATGCACTGTGATGGCTACGCTTGTTTCATGTTACTAAGCACCTCTTAAAAGCTGCCCTATCCCTTGAGAGGGAGCAAGGCAGCACACACAGTACTCTAGGTAGCCCATTCCACTGTGCTTAAGATGGGACAGATTATTACTCATCCTAAATCTTCTGCTGCAAATTAAGCTGATTTCTTCTTGTCCTTTCTTACAGGATACACTGAATACCTGACTACTGTCCTTTCTATAACTTCTCTGTTATCATGCCTTCCCTTGATTTGTGCTTTCTCTAAATCAAACAAACAACTCAACTGCTTTAACCTTTCCTCACAGATCATGTTTTCTTTGCCCTTTATTACTCCCGTTTCCCACCCTGCCCACTTCGTTTTTAATAAGCAGCCCATCCTCCAGCTAAGACCAAAGTAGCACAGTGTAAAGGAGAACAACTATGTTTTAATGTCCTATCTGCTATCCTAGAGCTAACACAACTCAGCTCTGTTTTTTTTCACCACCCAATAACATCATACCAACGCTAGCTATTGTTCTGGTTTGTAAGTAACATATATGATTCCCCTTGCTAAGCATAGTGCTTTTCCCTTGGCTTTTTTGAATTTTATCTTGATTTCAGACCAGCCCTTCATCTTATTGAGATTATAGTGAATTTCAGTGTATGTTATTGATAGCATTTGCGACCCCTCCTAGCTTGCTGCCATTTGAAAAATGAACTGTATTCTCTAATGTCCTCCTCCTAAATCATTCAGGACAATATGGAATAAGTGAGGCTTGAAGCGGATCACTATAGGATGCCACCTAGGCTGACCTTTCAGAAAAAATGAGTATTCCTTTCATTGACTTTTTAACTCATTCATGTAGCCCCTACTTCCTGATTGCACTCATTTTTGTATAATATAATGCAGGACAGTGTAAATTATCTTACATCAAGCTATACCCCATCTGTCATTTTTCCATATTAAGTCAGCTACTCTGATGAAGGAATTTCTTTTTTTTTTTTTTAGTTTATTGTTCCCCAGGTGCTTATTCGTTGTCATTGTTAAGAAATTTCCTTCAAACTCTCTACAGGATGTGACATAGGAGGGCAAAGAATCATAGATCTATCAGCCTTTTTTCTGGCTATTCATCCTGATGATGTAAAACACTCACTCTGCTCTTTTGCAATGCTGCCTTCATCATCAGGTTTTCAAAGACAATTCAAAGACAAAACATTAAGATTCTATGATTAGCAAAATTGAATTCTGATGAGTTCTAGACAGAACATCATAAGCCTTAAACACATCTCTATTACCTACTCAAATTGGTCTTTGTCTATTATAGTCCACATCCCTGTATCTATGCTAAAAGGCATTTTCATTTTAAGCAAACAGTCACAATTAACCTTTTCTCAGGGAAGAATTCTCTTCACTGAATGCCTAAGCTATCTCTGCATTATCTGTTATTTTCCGTTTTTAGCTTTTAGATAATAGAAGCGCGATGAGAAGAACTGAGTATTAGTTTTTCATCACTTACACTTTCCAGACTGTGGAGGTACTCACAGCAAGCTCAGAAATGCAAGACTCGGTGTCAAAAAGCCCCTTGACTTCAAGAGGGTTGGAACTTTGTCTAAAGTGTTTCCACATCTTTTTTAAAAAAAATCCATTTATATTCTGTTACTGATCTGTCATCTTAGACGTTCTTGTTAATTTACTAAGGCACTGCAGCTTAAACAACAGGAAGAGAAGCTTAAAGAAAACGTAGTTACCAGCTGAGCTTTGCTGATCAGGGTCGGCAGCTTTAAAGCCAATTAATTTTCTGTTCAAACCTCCTTCAGTAAAACTGGAAAGCGGATAGTGATGGGATGGATGCCAGCTGGATTTCATTCATTCTGAATGAGCTTTTAGTTTCGCATCAGAAAGAGTAAAAAATTTGGTTTGTTTCTGCCAATAAATACTTAAATACGTGAGAGAGGCAATCAGTGCAGAAATACCATTAGCAGGGTAGACAAATAGGAAAACAGTAAAATTTTATTTTCTAATGGTTTAGAAGAAAAACAGTGTGTAACGAGTATTCCCATGTATAGAGGTAAAGTGGAAGACTGAAGGGCAGCCAACAGAAAAATGCTCTATATTTTTAGCCAGCAAAGTAATATGGAAGGTTCCCGTTTAAACAGGAAGAGATTTATGTATGAAAGCAACCAGTAAGTGGGTATTTCCATTGCTGAAGTGTTTTTTAACTTCAAAAGAGAAGACACTAGTTTATTTTCAATGGGTGTTTTAAACTTTCTGAACTTAGCATTTCAAGCTGGAACTTTATAAAACTACATATTTTATTAATTTTACTTGGTCAGTGTTTATTTTTATATATATCCTCACATAGATTCATGCAGCAAAAACAGAAGCTTTGTTGCTCTTAGCAATTTAGAAGTGATTTTTTAAAATGCCTATTTCAAAATCTTACAAAGCTTTGAATGATTTCCCTTTAATAAGCATAACCACACTGTTCGTAATCTCAGCTAGGTTACTATGGCCATACTTACTGACGTCACTTTCAATGTCTCTTCAAATTCTAAAATCCCCTAAATTATAACATGTAATGACAACCAACTGCATAAGAAATCACTGACAAGAGCCATCATTTAGAGAGGTATGTCCTGAACTTCGCTGCACTTGAATGCCAGACTAAGCAGTTCTTCAGTCTTCTAAGAAGTATAGCTTTACTAATTTTTATTGGATTTTATGAAGTTTTTAAATGGAGCAAACTGCTGCAACAGTAACACTATGGGTCTGTGCCCTCTTGATCCCTTAAGGGAAGAAACTTAGATTATGTGATCCCATAGTTTTCTAAGTTCTGCTTCTTAATAGTACTTAATACTAGAGCCAAAGGTTTGCAACTTGGATATATTAGCTACATAAACTAAACCACGATGATCTAAATCCAGGTGATCTAAAAAGGTTGCACAATTTTCCTAAGCACAAAGAGATAAAATGCAGCAAGCTTCTGACTTTGATAACAGGCAGATATTTAACACTAATGAAAGTTGTGTACTTTTTCTTTAAAGGCTTACATAAATAACCATAGGTAAATTTCTAAATTCAGACACTTCATAGATGACAATTTAAAACTCTGCTTTATGTCATCATTATAGATGATCGTAGATTTTAGAAACACTTCTATATATTCTAGAAAATTTAACTTCAAAGATCTATTTTTCTCCCACTTTCTTCTGTTTAAACAGCATTACTAAGACTGATTACAAAACAAGATGCGATTATTAGGAAAAAGTAAGAGACTGGTAAAATATGATATAGACAAGTGGTGAGATTTTTGAAAGTCTTTAGATGCTAAAGATGCAGATAGGCACCTTATGGGATTTTCAAAAATTCCTAAGCATGTAAGGCGCTTACATGCTTAGGCACATTGAAAATCCTACTAAGTCCATATCTGCATCTTTAGGTACCTAAATACCTTGAAAAAATCTCACCCTAGATGTCCAGTTTCTCTCATTATTTGTTTTAATTAGTATCAGTTTGACAGGTAGCACATTTGCTTGTGACTTTTATCTAATAGAAGGGGGAAAGGAGGATTGATTAAGTCTGAAAGGATTTAAAGAGAAAATTAATACACAGTACTGGGGTAAAGACATGTTTATATCTTATGCTAGCAACAGGGCTTTCTAGCACTTTTCTTTCTTACATTAGCCTCACAATTTGTACAAATGATGCTTTGTACATTTTGTGTTTCATCTTTTTTAACAGAGTCAAATGACAGGAAAGAAAAAGTGCTCAAAAACTCCATAAGCATCCTTAAATAAACTGGATATACAGCAAACAATACTGATGTATCTAAATAACAAAAGAGCAGTGTAATTCTAGATTATATTAACATTATCTAGTTACTTATTGATATTACTATCAAAGTTTTGATGATGTGCTTTTATGTTTACATCAAAATGGCCTTGGTTTCATTTGAAAAGCTGTAGAAGTACTAAAATACATTTTCAAGTTAAGACTTTATACCTCTTTATGCATTTCCCAAAGTAGTATTATTAACAGAACTCCCCTATTTCTAAGCTGATGTTTTAAATCTATTTATATTCTGAGACAAAGTGAAAATAAGATTGCAAGTACATTCTACTAAGATTTTAGCACCAAAACATTTTCTAAAGTAGAAAGGAAAAAAAAAACACACACAAAACAAAATGGTTAATATCAAATAATCTGAGGTCCTTTTCCACTTACATTGCAAATTCTATGTTTCATAGAAATGTTTCTATACTATGTTCTAGAGTGAAGGATTGGTTGACAATAAAAAAAAACATCCTTAGCAGTGACATTAGAAATACCGTG